GAAAACGAAGTTTATCAAAACTATGTGATGGTATAGTAGCGCAATACATTTCGAACAGTCTGATCACACATATACTTGTTAAGAACATTTATATATAGGAATAAAAGGTCAACTAGACTGGAAATGGGGGGCAAGAAGAAACAAGGATAATAATAAGAGTAATAATAATAATTTGAACATAATTTGAAACGTACTCATTCTGGATAATAAGTCAATATTACCAGGGTAGGTTTAAGGTGAGAGAAAAAACTGTTTTTAAATATGCGAAGTGGGTTTGAATTTTCGTATGACTAAGGCTTCAATAAACCTAGGTATACACCTTTCTGCACCTTCGTACAACACTTCAAAAGCCAAGTTAAGGTCAAGCTTATGGCCTGTTTCGATTATATGTTTAGCAATACAAGATGAGAAGATACAAGCAAAACAATACCAAGTGAATTTCAATTCACCCTATTGCACAAGCAAGTGAATATCAGGACTCAGTAGCTGAGTAGATAACGCGATGACATTTGAAGCGAATGGTGCTGGGTTCGAGACCCCGAGTAAACATCAACTCTGTGATGCAGGTACATCCAGCTGACGAGTCCCAAATAGGACGAAACGCGCGTCCTGGATTCCACTGTTAGTCACTATCCATCCTTGCTTATAGAACATGATGGATGTTTATCCTCTACTCTTATTGGGTTTTTTGATTCTATTTGTTTCTGCGACCATTTTGGTGCATGTTGACACATCCTAATTTCGAGATCACAATTGCTCCTCCCTATGTATGTGTGACCGCACACACACATTTAAATTGGTAAACACAGTGGGATGTGACACAATCGTTTTCATTTCTTTTAGATTTTGGATGAAGCATGCACCTTGTTCTTTCTTTGATAATGACCTTTGCTACGCAATACGTTTTGTTGATGACTGATTTAGGCCTTTGTTTCAATAAAAATACTATTTGAATCACCTCTGAATGGTAAGATGATGTAGACAGGCTTTTTTTCTACCAAGACTACAGTATGTCCCACTGTACCATGAACTTTCCATCTATTTATGAATTTCAGAGGATAGCCATTTTCCAATAATGTTTTATTTAACAACTTTGCATTATCATCAATGGCGTCATTTGTACAAATACGATCAATCTTGTTAAATAGGCACCTTATCAAACCCCATTTGTATTGTACAAGGCAATGACTATAATAACTGAGGTATTGGCCTGTCCATGTTTGTTTTCTAAAAGTGGATCGTTTGATTAAGCCATCTTCTCATCTTCTTGAAAGTATATCTAGTAAGGGAAGCTGATCGTTCTTCTTATATTCACATAAGAGATTGATATCGTTTTGGAGAGTGTTAAATGTATTCAATAAACAGTATACATCCTCATTTCCTTCACAAACAACTAAGATATCGTCCACATATCACTTATAAAGTGACATGTTTTCGATTAGGTCATCGGCCAGAATTTTTTGTTTTAGTAAAAGGAAATAAATAGAATAAAAGGTTTTTACTATTTATTGGTTAAAACTGTCATTTTTTAAAAAAAAATTAGAAATTTGTAAATAAGTAATATAATGAAGATATATAAAGAAATACTAAGATAACCTAAATTAGTTTATAGATAAGGTTACCATACTAATCATATATAAAATTTGAAATATTTGAAAATTGCGTGAATATGGAATATAGAATAGTTCCTGATTTGAAAAAAGGAAATTGTGGACTGTTTGAAACAAAGAAAGAAGAAACTAAATATGTTATGTATAACAAAATGTTCTTCATTAGATCATATAAAATTATGTAAAGGATTTCACTAGACTTTTATAATTGAACATCAAATGTCATTTTATAGTGGATTAACTTCGTAATAATTCTTAAATCTTCGTATAACAATCGCCTTGATAATTATTATCAAATGAATCCTAATAGTGTATGAATTCAAAAGGCAACACAAAGTGTCGACTACAGTTTATTATCAAATAGCAGTAAGTCACAAGCATCAAGTGAATTCAACTAGAAAAGTTAATGCGTGCGAGTGAGCGAATACAGAGGCGAATTAAGACTTACACCATGAGTCGAGTCAATGGACAAGATTCAAATATATATATATATATATATATATATATATATATATATATATATATATATATATATGGAAAAGCCATAAGAAGCGGAGATTGTGGTAGGAAAAATTGGAAACAAAGTGAGGCTGAGAAGACAAATGAGCCAAGTTGATTTGATAAAGAGTAACTTAATATTTATAGTAAGACAAAAGTTACAAACATGTAATAAATAGGGTAAGCAATTAGCACATATACGCTCATATAAAATGAGTCAAGGTTAATAAGTGAGTAATTTACAAGGTTAAAATGTGACTCGGACAGAATGAATTGGTCTATCCGAAGGTAAAATAATCTATGTGGGCTTGACATTGTACTAAACACTACAATTGAACATGTCCACTGTTACTTAAATATGATTATTATATATGATGAGTACGAAAGAAAAATAATCAATTTATCAACTGGTAGTTAATTTAAATATCGACGAAGTACATTGATTTTATGCTTCATTTTACAGAAATCACTGTTTACATTAGATCTAATGAGTACATTAAGCACTTTAATGTATAACAATATAATTGATGACTTAAAACCAGTGTCCACTACATTTTCATTAACTTAATTTATAATTTTTGATCAATATTATTTTCACAAGGGTTTTGTGGAGCTTTTAGTAATTCCAATAGTTGAAATCATGAGTCGATTGAAGCTAGACCACTATGGAAATCTTAGAAGCACTGAACGGCCGTTTCGTCCTGCTGAGGAGTTCCATACTAGGAGGAAACGGCCGTCCAATGCTTCCAGGTTTTCCATGGTGGTCTAGCTTCAATTGACTCATGATTTTAACAATATTTTGTTAGTGAGTACAAACAATTCCTGTGAAAGCACCGTTTAACTTTTGACTAGGAAACTATCTAATACCATCTGAACGCTTAACTAAACCCTTTTGTTTTACCGCATTTATTTCACTTTCCTAATTCATATATTCTGAGAAGGGAAAAACCGCTTCATGTCGGATTACTTCATTTATTGAAATACAGTAATGTGTACACAATTTTCTGCATACAATTCTATGAAAAAGAATTGATCAATCTAACATTAATTGAAACTTCTTTCAGTGGAGTAGAAAGTGGGATATACATATATAATTGATTATTGAAGTTATTTACAATACTATCTTTAAAATTTATCTTCATTTTGCTTATCTATCTTTCTATTTCTGTGTAGACGAATTCATATTAACCAATAATCGAGTAGTAGTCATGATTATGTTTGTTTAATCCTAAGTATTGATCAAATTCTCTCAATCGAATTGCAATATGGTCACTAGTTCAAGTGAATTAATGTCCCAGTACATGTTGTTTGGTGTTAGATATGTATACGAAATCAACAAGACATCTTAAACTTATATTTTATGCTAGTCAACGCTTACCAGAGTATCTATCTTCAACCTTGATCAAATTGTTATTTCCTTTGAGACTCAGATACACATTCCATTCTCAATATCACAATTCGAGAATTCATCAATGATCGAAGGGAAGTGATTGACTTCCTATTGAACTAAAATATTGACACTAACTAATCATTTATTAGTCACTAATGAAATGTCTGGTCTTCACTACTGATAAATATCAATTATTATAAGATTTATGTCCAAGACTATCTGGCGATTACCTTTAATCATTTAGGAAAAAAAAATTTACTTTTAGGACGATCTTCATCATAGTCTGGTGCTACTTGTGAACTGAACGTGTAAAGCTCAGGTTGATAGGACAGTTGACATTTTGTGTGATTGACTTTTTCAGTCTGATTAATCTACAGTTTTCAAATAGTTGAGTTCTAAACTTTTACATTGCAGTGACAGCTACTGAATTTTTCAGTCAATATGATAAACGTCAGTAATAAACATTTATGATCTTATCCAAGTTGTAATAAGCAACACATGTTCTATGACATAAGATATATTACATCGTTGTGTAATCTAACAGGCGTACTAAATGATGATCAATGAGTGTTGGTATCTGTGACACTATCCATACTACATTAGAAATGAAGTCTTATCACAAGTTGTATATATTTTTAATCATTTAGGCCGTCAAAATCAGTCTTATAAATTAAGACGTGACATTTTTAAAGTAGCCCAGTATATGTGATGTTCGTTTTAAAATTAGTACGGTTATATGATTTTCAGCAGTAGGGAACCATTTATTCAGTAGTTCCTTAGTTCTAGTCGCCGCTGGAGTGATATAAAAGTAGAAATCTTAATACATGACAACTGTTTGGTTACGTTTTAATTCGGAGTTACATAATTTTCTTTAAGCAGAAAACAATGAAACCAAGTTATAGCTGACTTTAAAACAATTGTGGTTCCCACTTCTTTAACCCTAACGATAAATTTTCGAGTAAGATCAAAAATATTAGAAAAATAGTAATTGATTTAAAGGCTATAAAAACATCAGTTTAATATGCCTAGGTATAAACATATCCTGTTTTCAAATGTATAAAGATATAGCATGCTGAAAAACAGGTTATCTCTGGTTCTAGCCATATTCGAACTTAAACTAGTGATGGAGAAATTACTAGGTCTCGTTATTATTAAAAAAGACAATGACTGAACAAATTAACTTTTAAACAATAACAATCGGTTAATATTACTAGACGACAGGTATGAGGAGTGCGGATGGGGAAGTTGTGAAGAATCGTCTAGTGGTTCTAGGTTTTCCATGGTGCTCTAGCTTCAATTGACTCACGATCTCAACTAGCGAAATGACAAGTGTATTTACAGATTACTGGATAACTTTTTAACTAATTTAGTATCAAGAATTCTTTTTTTAAAAAAATTTACGTAGATAAATAAATAGATCTACGTATGTATATTGAAATATATTCATTTGTGTTTTTAATGAATTCAAATAAAGAAATTATTGAATGTTAAAATGAACTTACTTTTTGTTTTAATTTTAGCACAATACAAGAATTTAATATTAGAATACATGCAAATGGAAGTACATAAGTTGAGAGTAGAACAAAAAGTTGATAACCCATACGACTTGATTGAGTTGGAAATTGTTCTCGACAAAATACTTCTTGATTATAATTATTATTATTGTTAATATTAAGATACGTTTGAATTAAATCATGAGTTTGTTTAGTTGTTGAAGTATATGTTTGTGGTATCTCTGTTAGATAATAAGTATTATTTGATATATCTATAGAAGTAGTGCTAAGTAATGTGATATTATCCGGTAATATATCATCCCTTGGTGCTGGTATTAATACTTGAAATATAATTATTGGTAAGGCAAATATAATTCCAACTAGAAGAAAAGATTTTAAAAAAATAGATTGATGAAATGAATATTTTAGTGGATAAATAAAAATTCATTTCAGATGTTATAGAAGGGATCTTTCGTGATCAAAGTCGTAAAAACAATCGGCTTGTAATAATAAGATACTGCTTTTTATATGGTTTTAAATCCCATAGGTATTTATTATTATTATTAACTTTATTCAATATTATATTTTTGGTACAATATAGAATCCTCAGTACAAAGTATTTCACCAAGTCTCCTTTTCTTATTTCTTGATCGATCCTGACGATAAATATTGAGTGATCGCCAGTTAAATGTTAGCAGTCCAGAAATCGACATCTGAATAATGTTCGTTCTTTTCAATGCATATTACCAGGCACTATGATGTCTCTGACTGTACCCTTTTGTAACCTGTACAGCGAAATGTCGTAAACATTTCATAAACGCTCCCGATAGACATAATGATGTGTCAAAACAAACAAGAAAACAGATAAATTTTTGAAATATCAAGATGATAGGAACAGCTAGCTCAGATATTCAAGCAGGCCGCCGACTTGTCAACTTGTATCAGCATTACGCCTGTTGTCATACTGGTGGAACCGTTTCGAATATCGAAAAGACCTATTAAACCCAAACTTCTTTTACTTTAAAAGCCTCGGTGGATGTGTTTTGATTTAAACTCATAAAAACCGTAGAACATAAGACCGTCAAAGAAAAACTGAATTGTTGGGTTTTCAATGAGCATGATAAAGTGGATTTGAGGATAAGCACATAGTAATTAAATGTTGATCAACTTTTCTAATTAGTTTTAAGGTATTTTTAAACTGTAGAATTCAAAAATATTTAATCACTCCCAATGATGATACATTTTTAATTCATTGAAAGTAGAACCATTTAATAGCTTCAACTGACTCATGGTCTCAACCATTGAAATGAATAATCTTTAGAAAGGATTAAGAATCATATAATAATAGTCATCGTCTGCATATTTCAAAGAGTATTAGAACTAATGATGAGTTTTCTTTAAAGGAAAAATACTTCTTACTCATTAATATGTTTGTGGATAGAATTAAACTGTTCAGTCTTTAAGCGATTATCTAAGAACTAACAATGTGCAGTTATTTATCTTAGAAATAATAGTGGTTAACTAATCTTCAAGAGTAGATGTAAAGCATAGTAACTAACTTGTCACTAGGATTCATTTATTAGCCACCGAAAATATGAAGGATATGCGATTACGTGGATCCTGTTATTTTATTTATACATTAGTAAGTTACTTGGGATGATTTCATTAAAAAAATTTATTGAGAACCGTAATTAGAAAATTCTCACGATATGTGTTGGTTGATTCAATGTTAAGAAAAATGATGAATGGTGCATTTATAGAAAGTTGATTTCGTTCATTATCATAACCGGAAGTTCTTTAATCCAATAGCAGTTCCTCTGTTACTTTTTGTTGTAATAAAACCGTAAATGATGTTGAAATCTTTAAGCCAAGTAAATGTAAGGAAATATAGTTGTGAACTAAATCACGATAAAAGATAATCACACTTGTAATGAATAGATGGGCTAGATAAATGATCTAAGTACCTGGCATCACAGAAGCAAGTAGACTAATATCTGGACTTTAAATTCCTCACTAGTAATAATTTATCCATCATGGTCGTTGTGGTCAAATATTAAAAGACTTTCATTATGAAACGTTTTTCGAATTGATACTTGCAAACAGTAGAAAACGAATGACTGATCATCTAACTTTATATGAGTTACATTGATGATATCTAAATATCTTAGTAATTTTTAGGTCATTTTGTAATTGATATCCATCATATAGGTTTGTAACAGAATAATACCATTTCATGGTGTTCTACATACTTTAAAAAAACGATAGATTAATGTAAAGATCGATTCATAGAATACCTATATAGAATGGGAAACTGAAAAAAACGTTAGGATTCAGGGATCTAATGATTAGAAAATGAATTTCTGTGAAGACATAATTTAATTATTGAGGATCTAATGTGATGGAATATAATAATTTTAATTATTATGTTCGAAACTTGTTTTACATGATAACGTTTTCATTTCAATCAATGGGGTGAAGAAAATCTGTTGTACAATGTTTACGGACTTATACATGTGTAGTAAATATCTCACAATTGTTACATTTAATAACTTTAAGTGTGATAGAAGTGTCGTAGTAACAAAATTTCTTGCTGATTGTTACCACGGTAATAAAATCATTGAGACGAATATACTATTTCATTAGTTGAGGAAATTAGGTAACCATGGTAACTATGATTAAAAAATGTCACAAAAAGAATGTATTTAATTTTTTAAACAGAAATTTTTATATTTGGATATGTTTTTCATTTTCTATGCTGCAAATTTTTTTTGTATGCATTAAACACTACTCAACTTTTCACACTTTCCTCAGATCTTCTCAAACGTATTAATATCAAGCATACTTTTGACATAAGCTGAGATGATCGTGGCTAGCAGTAGAATCCCAGACGTGCGTTTTGCTTTATTTGAGACTCATCAGCTGGATGTATTTGCATTCCAGAGTTGATGTTCAATCCAGAGCTCAAAACAAAACGCGCGTCCTGGATTACACTGCTAGCCACCATTCAAGCTTATAATGCTCGTGACTAAAGGCAATGTTGAGGCACAGAATGTATATATATTGATGATAAACTGATCAGTTGCAATCCTAAACATCCATGGGAAGATCCAAACAACCAATACAAAAATACTTTTGATATGTTACTGAAGTACATTAAAAAATAATCTTTCAACAATAGTTTGTTGTTTGTAATCAATGTTACTCAAAGGTAACCATGTTTTCTTGAATAATTAAAATGAATGATAATGTTAACTTTGTGATAATATGAGATATAATTCAAGAATTATGAAATCATTTTGTTAAACTTTAAACTATATTCCGTCATCATTTACTTGTAAGGATATGACCTATAAGTCTATGTAATAGAATTTTCAAAATATGGTCAATACTCTTTGAAAATCTTTCATACTACTAATAGTTATGTACTTATTAGTAAGTAATTTCGAGAATTAATTTTCTGCATTTTAATGAGAAGCCATGAACACACGGAGTGTGAGGCAGTTACCAATTATTTACTCTGGAGGACGATTGGGCATTATCACGAACTCACTAAAGTTCATCATGTAAGGCCTTGTGTAGCATCGCACCCAAATGCCCTGGTACGGCCGAGGGTGGCAAGAGTCAGCTCTTCATCTCCAAACGCTCTCACATGGCCACGTGCTTACAATCACCTACAGGAAAATCCTACTCACCGCCTTCTAGCAGCATTATTGTTGCTTTCGAAATCGAGAGGACGAAAAACGAATGTCCGACTCTTTAACCCGGTTGGTGGATATAGAGGATTCACCTAGGGTAGTTAGAAAACCCCGATTCCAGACAAATGGTGCATACGGGCTCCAGGACCCCAAAAAACTAATGGCGTGTGAACCTAATGTTGGTCACCGGCTACCATGGGACTGTATCTCCTGACGTTGTTCCACTACCTTGGGGAATAGACCTTTAGGTCGAAGACTCTGGATATGGCCCCCTAAAATATCACCTGCTTCGGTCTAGGCACCCGGGTAGTATCCCAGCTTTCACACACAAATCAACTGATGATTTTTGGTGCATATCTGTTTGGTGCCACTTTGTACCAGTATTTATGTGTTCAAATAAATAAATAATTGCATAGCATATCGATAGTCTAGAGGTTGAGTGTTCCCAGAGAGATCTGCGTGTCCAATGTTCAGTGTCAGATAAGGTCGTGTATACACACAATTGAAGAATATCATACTACGAAGGATTAGTCTTCTGGTGCTTCCTGATTATCACTGATTTTTTCTCTTAGATCAGTTAGTGATGTAAAATGTAAAACTCAACTCTCTTCACAAATGAGTTTAATTATAACACAATATATTTTGCTTTAGGTAACAGAATAACGTTAAAAGTTCTTAGGAAATTGGTTCACTCTTTAGTTTATCTAATAGTTTTCTTTAGTTTGCAAATAAAAGAATTTATATAGATGGTCAGAAGTGATTGCCATTTACATAAACATTGTTTAAAAAGGTTAAACAAAGAAATTTTCAAACCTTTTTTTGACTTTAAGTGATTACAAATGTTGAATGACTTAAAAAAATAACTCGGAAGGTAGATGGGAAGATATTTCTCAAATGATCGACTATCTGTACTACTGTTATAAAATAAACACTTCATAATTCTGTTGATATTATAAATTGTTTATAAGTCTTTTATGGGTTACTCAATTATGCTTCGTAAAAAGTTTCAGGACCTGATTTATTTTAAGTTTAGTTCATATCAATCCATGAGAATGATAAACGTTTTTTTCTGTAATTTGTACATGCCTTCAGATAGCCTTGTTTTCCATGATTATAGATTTCACCCAATTAGGATATGCAAAATATTTCAAATTTACGAGTTTATTAAAATTACGATTTTCATGGTTTACAACATTCCATTGAAGGTATATTCATATTATTATTGATGTGGTCAACTTAGGTGTCTGGTACATGTGTTATCTACCGTCAATCATTTTTAATCACAACGTTTTGTTTTACTAATTGAGATAGAAATAACTTAAAATGAAAGTTAGAAACACTAAAACCAAGCCAATGATGACTGGACAAGAGTAACTGAAATTTTTTGGTTTTGATCTATTCAATCAGATTTATCTAAAATGATACTTGTATATAATTTTATAGTTATATTTATAGCTTATTTGAATTTATAGAAAGTTATCGGACAAACTGACGATTAACAATAAACCATAGTGATTAATTAAATTTGAAAGTAATTAGTCAAAAACCTTTACACTTTGTACATTAATTACATCGGTGAGATACAAACCAGTTATTCTGTATTTATATGATTAGGTTTGGTTTTATCTACCTAGAGTCATCTATTTAATTCATGTGGAATTAAAATTAAACTCGTTTTATACACT